CACCTCTGCTGAGGGCCACTAACATTGTAGTCCTCGGCCGCGATCGCTTCGGAGCCCAGCGCTTTCCTGATGGATATTTGTTGCACAACTCTGATAGCTCCTATAAGGACAGGCAAGAGCTGCAGGTCGCTGTTGGTTTCCACTGGAGGATGGAAGCCAATGACGACATAGGCCGTTTTCGAGAATCAGCTGAGGACGATTGTTGGGTTGCTTTTCCGGGGGCCTCGAAATTGTGATTTCTCTTAGAAATGTGTGGTTAACTCGGTGCTAACAAGCGGCGTGCTTTCTCTTACGCAGGAGTCGTAACCTTCTTCATTTGAAGCGCAAACTTCTTCGTTTCTTTGTCGTCCACGAACCTTTGGAATTCTTTGGCTTTGCGATTTATTCAGGCATCTTTCATCTGCCTAAACCGCTGTTGCACCAGGGAGCGTATTTGAATAAGGCCGTCCTGTCTACGTTGGTTCTGCTCTTAGTGTGGGTTTTGTGCAAATTATTCTTCTTGAAGAAGTAATTGCAGTTTGTCTGTCGCCGCATAAAACCAGTCCTGTCGCTGACGATGTGCATGACCAAGGCGGATGACGTTTCGCATTTTGGGCCACGGTGTCTCCATCGTGACCTTGCAGTCTGGAGTCCGCACTTATTTCGGGAGATTGGCCAATTGGTAGCGTAGTAGGTCAGATCAGTATATTTAATGGTGATTGACACCGCCTTTGAAACCCTATTGGAGACAGTGACCGGACAAATAGAACAAAAGCTGTTCACATTATACAGGATTCGCTTATTTTATGGTTTCTTGCCAGACTGCAGTCAAAACCTCATCTTGGAGATTACGAGACAGCGACCTTTCCAGCCTTAAGTGTTGCAGATTGCATTTGTTACCAAAATTCGGCAGCGGTTTGGCCCCATGACAAGAACATAGTCTAGCGGTTGTCGTCGAGGTAACCGAATTTCATCCATATTGCCTTTGCCTAAGTTGGAAGTGGGTGATGCTTGACGGGAGAAGTAAGGCAGGGAGAGGAGGGGACGAGGTAATCAGGCGAGGTTTGTCAGAAGGTGGAGGTCGTTGCAGGCGCCCCATCCCGGAGGGAATCCAGCACTCCCCTTCATGCAGTGTGGTCTATCCCGAAGAAAAAGTTAAAGCAAACAGGTACAATCAGCTTGTTCACCCTCGGCACAGTCGCCAGGATGGCATGCAAGTCTTTGTAGGAATTGTTCCTCACCTCACCGGAGTTATTCATTAGCTGAACGTGGGCATTGATGGCGGTAGCGAATTTGTTTCCCGAAGGAGTAGGCGCAGGTTCATGGGTCGGTCACTGTTGTATCGTGGTACATAGGGTAATCATCTCACGGTTTCGCTCCTGGGCGAAAAGACCATCTCAGAGTCCCATCGCTCTCAATTTTCGTATGATCGGCATCAACATCCTTCGGCTGACCTTATGCAAAGAATCGGGTCTCCCTGAGGGCAGATATGCCCACCTTTCAGTGCGCCAGTTCAGGGACAAATATTACTGTCTTCCTTTCCGGTCGATTGTTCATTAAATTTTTTACTGTAGAACGAGTAGTTCAGGTTTCCAGAGTGAGCAGGCTCACTCTAGCAGCTTGTAATAAGGCAGAGAGGATGGAGACTGGGGTCGTAACTGCACATTATTGAGTTCCGGCCGCCTGTTTTTCGTCTGTGAGCTCTGGCCTGCTTACAGATAGCGGAATTTCCCACCACTTATTTAAGGCATCTTTTCTAATTCCTTCGCCTGGGTTGGGATAGGTAGTGCTACCCCATTACTAGGACTGCTTATTCATCACAGGAGATTTCTGAATTGCACTATAAATCGCGGTTTTTTTCAATGTAGATTGACCCCAGTTAGCTTTGGACATCTGCGGGATTGCTAGTCACCTCCGTAGAACGTTTTAGGAGGAGAGGGGAAAGGAGGTAGTGGGACAGTAAACAGAATTGCCGGGGGATGAGGATGCGCACATTATCGGATTCCCCATCTGGCCTAGTTCGTCATTTAGGTTGGTTATTAGGGTGCGATTGCTACTTAGAGTTTAACTTTGAGAAGCTATAGTCACCACCTGCATGAAGCAACCTACCAAATGAACATTGTTTAAGCCTAGTTGGGGACGGTTCACCACGCGCGTACTAGAGATTTGAAGGAGGAAAATAGTCGACACCTGGCAGGTTCTCTGAGTGTTTTCCAACTAAAGAAGTCTACAGTAACCACTACAACAAAACGAACTTTGTGAAAACCATCGCATGACTACTGATCAAAGATTTCAACAGGCAGTTTGCAGACTGGAAAATTTCGCCAGAGCCCTACTTTAGGAAAGCTTTCCCGCATCTTTTGGTGCCAAAACCACAAATAACATGGGTAAAGATGTGTATTTTGTTATAGTCGGTGAGGGAATTACCCCATACATAACTTTTGGCGGAAAGGAAACGAAAAAAGGTCTCTATATATCAAAATTATATGAGACCACTGCAGATAAATTCCTGGTGGTTTTCACGAAATGCTGTAAAATAGAGCAATTACAGCCCCCTAAACAGAAGTAAACGGGAGGACACCCTCACAAGGCATCGCATAAGGTCGCCGGACGTCACAGAAAGTTCCTTATTCGGTTCCACGTAACTTCAGTGTTCAACCGCCAGCTTCGTTTTTTTTAAATGCACAGCCATTGTTCAGCAAAAGATCCAGTCTTTCATTCCTGTGACCGACCTCGTCGGGTTCTAATTCGAAAGCAAAGGAACAGATCTGCATTATTCCAGAATTTGAAAAGCAAAACCGACTTCGGCTCGTAGTTATTTTTGCAGTGGAGGGACTAATAAACCGCAGAATTTTGGCGAGTTAAAAATAATCCGGGTTAAACTACGGAGACTACGAAATATAGTACGATTAAATTAAGCTGGTCGATAAGAATGTAATCGCCTTAATAAGAGTGACCGTGTGGAATATACTGTATAGTATTGGGTTATTAACGCTTTCCATTGTCAAGCGACGTGTCGAAATCGAGTCGACCTTGCCCTGTAGTCGTGTAATGGGCTGGATAAGACAGACGATTATCTGTCCTTCTAGTATTTCACCATCCTGCAAACCAGTACGTATTGTTGTTATCTCTACAGATTATGTTTACCTGAAGACTTGGCATAATAAATACTCAGAGCGCTATCGTTTCATGGAACAGATAAGAAAGGGAGACATCATCAAACATCTTGAGTTTTCTTTGAGAAATATCCGGGTTCCGAATGCACGATATACATCGAATTAAAACAACTGCCGATATAGGAATTACTCTCCAGTGTGGTGTTGTCGGAATAATGCCAACAAACTCCTCCCAAGTCTCGACAGGAATATTTCCTCATTCACAGGTCATTCTAGCATTTCGCAAAGAAAACCCTCGAAATAATGCCTAATACATTTGTATGCCTATGGCAAATGCTGTGTTCCGCATGATGTTCCTCGGTCGCATTTGATATGGACGTCTGGGAAATATTTAGGAAAAAGGCTTCTTTACTCAATTGGAAATCTGAACTTCGAGTAAAAGATAAAAACACTCAACCTCTCCACGCCGCAACAAGATTAGAAGTACGAATACCTTGAAGGAGCACATGAAATAATTTCAGGAATAGGTGAAGTTAGGTTCGACTTGTATTTTCCAGAGTTATCTTAAACGTTACTACCGAGTGCAGATTGAACGGTTATTTAGGACTCTTGTTAGTGAGATTGGCAGATAGCCCTTTCATGGAATGTTTTCAGGAATTACAATTAATCATTTAATGAACTCGTTATGCTCCTCATGCGCGAAGTGTTTACGGCGCGTCATGTAGCGTACGAGGTTACGAGAGTAGTCAGTCTTCCGAAATTCCTCAAAGTTTCTAAAAGAGATTTTTGCGTAGACGGAGTTGCGTTGTCCACAATCGTCCCGGCAAATGTGAGCATTTCACCACGTATAGCGTCACGCGTTCGAAAGATGACAGTGTCAAAGGGCAGCCAAAAGTGCGACAAGGGTGTTATTTGCGCTGAGGCGAGGATTTGTGCAGATCGACAAGGAGCTGTTCGGAAAAACCTATGGGGCATTCGTCCGGTCTCACTAAGAGTATGCAGTCCAGGCCTGGCGACCGTGGTTAAAGAAAGATTATCAACGACTGTAAAGAGTACAGGCGATGGCTACGAAGATGGTCAAGAACCTCCATCACTTGCCTTACGAAACCAGGCTGACCGAACCAAATCTGTTTCCTCTAAATTACAGGCAACTGCGCGGCGATCTCATTCAAACCTACTGGATTGTCAGAAGCCGTGAGTGTGCCCTAGACTTTGATGAATTTTTTGAATTGGCCCGGACTGACTGTCTGCGTGTTCATCCCTTCAAACTGCAAAGGAAGCGGACTCATTCGGACGTCTGACGGAACGCCTTCTCTCACAGGGTCATCGGGGCATGGAATGGACTCCCTGATGCCGTCGTTCTTTCCGAAAGTGTCGAATCCTTTAAGTGCAGACTAGACGCTCACTTGTTGAGAACCTACTGTACATATAATAATGATTGTTTTAGCGGCGGCGGTTTGCGCCTAGCTCACACTTACCGCTAACTTCTTAACTTTTCGCATTTGCTGATGTAATTGATAACTTTATTTCTGTTTATCGATATGAATAGGGAGCTCAAGGGCGAAAGCCTCATTCCCTTAATAAACTGACTGAAACTGACTTAAATAACAAACTCATGTGATGAAGCCAAGAAGAATGTCGATAACAGAGTATGCAATCGTATTTGAAGTCCAGAGAGGATCTAATTTCTAAACATGTTAATTGTCCCTGAATCTTTTATAAGGAATGTAATTTAGCATACTTTAAACTTCTATGTGACCGCTTTGGCCTGACGAAGAGTTACCGAAAACAAGTATTTGCCCAATTGACTTTTCAATCTTCACGTAGTTTCAAACAAGGGGAGAAAGTGTCTGATGGAGTCCGCGGTTGTCGCACCGCTACGGCTGGTCTCTCGGTTGCACCTAAATGGGTGATTCGGACCATTCCCTTGACACATCGGACGAGGAGTATATTCCTCCTGCAGATGCTGAAGATAGTAGTGATGATAAAGACGTTTCCTCCGAGTATGGCACAATGTATATTTGTTACTTGTTTCCAGGGATGAAGAAGATACTCTTTCAGTCGCCGTAAAAAAGTCCTCTCCCGAAAAAGTTTTGGACCGTGATGCTGTCTGGAATGAATTTCTTAAGGAAACCGAGACTGTTACCCAGGTAGCCCATATACTTCGTTAACGTTCTCCAGCGCGCTCCTCAGGAAACTCCCACCGCGGTCAAACCCACGGGAACGTACGTCTGGTCCTTACCATGTCCTTGATGACATTATAAGTTCAGGGTAATCTAATGCATCTCCTTGAGAGAATGTCGCCAATATCGTCTTTTATAGGAGCAACTTCGTCAATACTTGCTTGTTAAACAAGACACCTGTCTCACCGAGATTTCCACGTCACTCGAAGCAGTCCGAATATTTTGATATGTGATCAATTATAACGCAGTCTTCTATTAGATACTAGGGAAGACTCCTTGAAATCATCTGAGGAAACAAGAAATAATAAGGGCCATTGTCCTCAGAATTCCGCAGACTAGCAAAAGATTCGGGATATATAGTTAGCTATGCTTATATATTCAGTCAGCGATAGAGTGAAGCCGAGTGATTACTATAATGCATTGTATCATACCTGGTTAAGCAAGCTTGCTTTTACCGTGTATTTATTTTATCGGAGATGCTCTTTGAAGGCAAAAGTATAGGTCTTTATGCTCCCTTTTTTCTGTAGGCCAAACGCATGTGCCAGTTCCTTTGGCGTTTCCAATGTCTCTTCAGTCCTTTCGACCAGCAGTACTGCCAAGTAAGTTGGTTTTTGTAGCCGCCGTAACTCAGGTCATACAGAGTTTAACTCCAATCTTTGTATTCAAAGGTTCATTTTGCCTTCCAGAACTAGAATGATCTAGGATTTTCGGAAGCTTCTTTATTTGGCTGAGTCATGTTCGTTTCCTTAGATGTTGACTCAGACAAACTAGACCACTCCCTTTTAAATTGTTCGTCAGCAACGGTAAGCATCGCTCCAGGGCATCCACATTCGATCTGCAACGTCAGAGCTTATGAACAAAGAGGATGCACCTTAGTAGTATAACTTGACTATGAACTACAAGACGAATTTCAACCTAAAATGAGTCAAAATGACTATAATTTAGGTTGTCTACCTAGCGCATTGCCCTGAACTTTTGACCATCCTCATCCAGCTATTCTCTATGGTTTCGATTGACATAATGGTGGCCAGACCGGCTGCGTCATGCATTTTTGCGGTTTTCTCTTCCAGGACAAGTTGTGCTGAACCTACGTCCTCCCTTTCCAACAAGTGAGTGTATTTTAATTTCCTATATAGCCCTCGACGTTTGCAAACAACTCAGGGAGGGTTTAAGAACTGTGCCCCACTGCATACATTTGTGCCTATGTGGTACGCCCTCTTATTTAAAAATGTGTTGAAGTCTTCAACCTCTCCGATCCTATCGTTTACCTTCCCTACCATAAGACTAGATATAATTACTAATATGTTTAACTATCGTCCCTGGCAACAAAATTCCTGGACTCCGACCTCCCCCAGTTGTAGCAGGGAAGACCTGTCTTAATCGGAATGGTCACAATTGCGCAAATGAGGCAGCACGAACAAAGAGGATGAAGGGATCGAGATGAATGAGTACCCTGATATTCGGCCTCATTCGCCTTACAGTCGACTTATCCCAACTAAAACGAGAAACAGGGGAGGGTTAATGAGATAAGAGTTCATCAGAGTATGACATGACTGGGGAGGTTTCAAATGTATGCCGTAGATAAGTTTCACTTAACGATATAAGTAAGCAACCAGTAGGTCCTGCAGTAGCTTGACCGTAAAGCATCCGTCGCAACCCTTTGAATGCGGATAAGACCACGACCAGGTAGTTTCTTGTTTGAAGAGACGCACAAGGGACTATTTAAGGCATATTTTGGGCTCGGCACGTTTTGAATTGGAGGTTTTGCTCTTGAAGATGTCCGGATAATGAAAAAGCCCAATCACACCGAATCCTAAACAGACTTAATTCAAGGCACCCGTTACAATTAACAGCGCGAAGTCGCCCTTTCTATCGCCCGAAGTGCTCCAGCATCACAGAAAGAAAAGAATATTCTTCCAAACTTCCATGTTTCTCATTGCCAGTGCTCTCGCGCATGCTTCTCATGTTAGTTTTTAGTTGTTGTCCCATTTGCTACATGGAGACCTCCATCAAATTTATTGCATCCATTTAAACACCTTTCTCGGGCCAACACAGTAATCTCATGGAAAATGCTTGTTTTCCGCGTATTTTGTGACTTACAAATAAGACTTTTGCGTGTCTGTCTAGTGTCTTGAGTAATCTTCCCTTTCACTTCATTGTTATATAGAAGATTGTTCGCCTTACGAGCGCAATGGCACTTGAATATCGGCCTTTGCAGGGCATCTAGACCTGACATATTTGACGAGTAAGATTCATAAGAGGACATTGTAGCTGTGTACTGGCTATTATTACGTATCCCAGACATCCGCACAAGTCTGGCCTTTTAAACCATACATCCCCTCTTTGTGTGTTATTTGTTTGTTTATGGGATTTCCTTTGCAAAAAGCCTCAACGAAGTCTCGGAAACTTTAAAATGCAACACAAAGCAAGCCTTAGTGTCTTTGCGTCGGTTTCAGAAACTCGACAATCTCCAGGCCTGCCGCCATATCCGGCCCATCAAATGGTCTAGCGCCCAAGTACGTTCGCCATTAACCCATATTTTGGGTGGTTTAAATGTTCCCTTTTGCTAAATTGCCCCAGTGTGTCGTGTAAGTTGGCGGACTGCTCTTAGCGTCAATTTTTTGGTTTCTAGTTTTTTGTTTGAAGGCAAGCACAATTCTCTCTCTTGTTTTCCTCAAACGGGTTATACTCCTACTAATACCAGACCTTCCCAGCCGGCTGAAATGCGTCTAGGTTGTTTCCATTGACTTTTACTCGCAGTATGAAAGAACGTATTGCGTGTGACTACCATCTCCCTGTCTTCTTGTCATCATGACTGCAAATTTGAGTGATACCCTGATTGACTCTTGAAAATTTGAGTTTGTGTGCCCTTCTGAACGGTTTGACGAAGCATTGGGAGCCATGAGCGGTACTTCCCTGTCAGAAATCTTCGCGGTAAAATTTACTTGATACACATTTTTTTACCCTCCAGGCGTGCCCTCGCCAGTAACGATCGTCTGTGCGATGCTCTTAAGCGGCTAAAGTCTTCGGCCCTGCTTCCCGGATCCGCACCAAAGCTCAGTACTCTGGTAAGAGTCCGTCGTTATGTTATTCAGACAACCCGTTTTTTAAGCAGACTCAGCGACTTATTGTCTAAACGCTCTCCCTGGTCCCCGTGCAGCCCAAGCTAAACTGTGTAATGAACCTTTGTTTAATCTGCAATTGCTTCTGCCTTATGCACAGGTCTAATAAGGCTGTATAGTTTTGTGATTCCCCACACACTTAGCCGTAGCTCATTTTCCTGTCTTATTTTCGTTTTTGCCTTCTTCGAGACACTTATTTCCGCACCTTTTTCGCAAATCTAATTGGGGCCTCTGCGTGACAGGCTGTCGATTTTCAGTGCGCGCAGAAACTCATTAAGCCTCGGCCAGTAGTCTTCAATAGGCTCTCCGACGGACATGATGACTTGTGGAAGTTCTCAAAGCAGACTGATAGGGGATGTATTCCAAAGTTAAGTTCTTTACGACGGTGTGCTAGCTTTTGATTGGGAACCTTGTCATCCGCGCATGCAAATTGTTCCTGGAACCACCTAGGTAGTATGTGCTCTTTCATCGGTTTCAATGTCCGCACAAGTTCATTCATTTTTGTATAACGGAACTACACAGAAATCCCACTTTTAGACATTATTACACGGGAGATTATGTCATTTCAAATGTCCTACTTGGGGGAAGAGGCAGTTGACTTTTAAAAAGATTTATTAAATCATTATGGTTTTCAAGACGCCCATGCTTTTAACTAGGTTGTCTATTATCTCCTTGTTCATTACTATTGGTCATAGAGTATGCAACTTCATCCATATCCATCGCAACGCCTTGTGAGTACCAGAGGGCTGATCTGAAGTTGTTGGAATTCGCATCAACTAAATTTTATTGACCTCGAAAACCAGCGGAAACGCAGTTTGCAGTTTTTAGTAGACGTTCTTTTTGATTGAATGCGCCCTTCCCCATCAGGTGTCATATGCGGAGTAGACTAAATTCTTTGTGCATCCCTCCTGCAAAATATGATTAAATTTCCGCAGGTATCGAAGGTCGATGGAAAAAACACCCACTGCGCAAGCAGTGCTTTTTTCCGCGTGCAAATTGCGCAGATGACTGGGAATCAGGCTCTATCCCATGTTAATCGGTTTGCAATGTTACTTAAGTAGTATTTTCAGTCAGAAGCCGTACCCGAATACTCCGATCAATTATTAATGAGGTCTAAGGCATACCAAAGACGCTTGGGTCGTCGATGGTACTGAGTAATGTCGTCTTCCGAGCCTTTATTTGTCAAACCGAACTTAACCAGCTCTAAACTCAACCCTTCTATATCCGTTCTGTCTAGGAAAAATCTAAGCGAGATTGGGAGTCGTTCACACAAGAAGAGGACATTGCGGACGAGTTAAAGTTGTACAATAAAGGCAAACATGGGTAAGTTAGCTTCCTCTGACAGCTCTCGCTCTTTATGCATAGTTCACTGTCATTGCTCTGGATCGGCTAGTTTTCCGTAAATCCTCAGTTTGTTTGAATACCAGGCAAGTACTAGACGGTGAAATGCAGTCTGCTAGACCATGTGACAACCAAATTCACGGCGAACTATTGCTGGAGTGTATGTAGCATAAAGGCGGTCACTGGAGGTCAACGGTTATTGGATTAGTGGAGTACGTTACTTATCACAGTACGAATAAATACTAGCCCAGTGAACTGTGTCGCCAACAGCAGTTAGGTGTGAGGAGTTTCGATTCTCAGCGATCCTCAAGATGGAGTCGGCCACACGGAAAACTGAGTAAAGAGGGAAAGTCATTCAAGCGAGTCCCTACCAGTTACAGTGTCGGGTTTCTATTTAATTAACCTATATATCCCCACTGGATAGGGTTTCAAGCCAATGATTGGGAATATCACGACTTAGCATGGGTAAACTGTTTCCACCGATATGTCCCCTTGCATCCCTCTGAGGTCGATTTATTGTGCTTCCGGTAGATTTTTCGTTACGCACACCCCGGAGATTCTCTACCAGAGACCCCGTTCTGTTTTTCTACACTGTCCTTGTGGCCTGTTGTGTCACTGTCCCTCCTCCTTTGCGAGAGAGCGAGAACTATCCGCATGCCTCCTCGGTGAATGAGCAGTCGCATAATGACTGCAAGCGAACGCCTGTCGTCACCGCCCATTCTGCTTTTGGGTATCCTAATTTCCTCGTTCGCCGACCCGATCTCTTCCTGTTGAGCTAACTGACTGCCTGCACCGTGGTCGACTGAGGCGCTAAAAGCTTCTACCTGAGAACTTTTACAAGTAGCAGCTGGCAATCAACACGGACGATTCTGTCCAGGCGCGTTGATAAAGTTTGTTGCCCTTTGGCCTCGCCACGCTCAATTTTGGACAGACAGTGGACCGCTCAATATCCCGGAATAAATGCCTGTTTAATGCTCCCGCCAAACTAGTACTTGCTATGTGTTGAACGGTTGGGATGGTGTCGATTTTTATGACGGCTAGAGTTAGTTCGATTTAGACAGATCATTAAAGAAATGCGAAACTCGCATCAGAAAGCAGCCCTGCTCTTGTTCTTGCTAGCAGCTCTGTACACAGACCTACCGGGACCTGCTTTTTGGCTTTGCTACTAGATGCTATCCCTCTAACCTGTGGGTGAGTAGGCGAGACTGTTCCATTGGCTTTAGGCGTGCGCCCCAGGTTAGCGGGAGCTGAATATCTCAATTTTCCAGCGAGCCCAAACACGCTCATATCATCTATTACGTATTTTGTGTTCATAGATGTTTTGGCGAATTTTGAATAATTCTTATTGACCCAACTGTGAAAAACTCGGCGCCTCGGTGGGGTTCGAACCCTCTCAGTAAGGGGAAGGCTTTAGTACAGCCAGCGCTCTAACCACTTGACCTACGAGGCCCCACCGGACAACGTGAGTTTAATCACATTTGGGTCAAGCGTTGGCTGTGCTAAAGCCTTCCCCTTCGTGGGTTCGAACCCCACCAAGGCGCGGAGCTTTTCACAGTTGGGTCAATATAAATTATTTAAAATCTGCCAAAACATCTACGAATTACGTAAACCTGGGTGCCATCTGGTGGATTCTAGGTGAATTACTTAGAAAATCCTGCCAGAGCAGTCAACTTACTGTATCACATTTCGTGTTGTTAAAGTACTCCTTCGTTGATCTGCCATTGCCGTTTACGTGCGCAACAGCTATAGCTGTTTAAAGTCGGGCCGTCCGAATGGGGCTGTCTGAAGCCATGTTTATGCCTTTTCCTCCTCTTTTCAGGTATGTCGCACGAAAGGCATTTGAGTCGCGAGCGAGCGAACGGGAGTATGCTCTTGTACGAGAGATGCGGTTAAAAAGCTCTCAGAAGAGATGATGTCTTATTGCCCTGCTCACTTTTTACCACCCCCCCCCCCCGCCTACTTTCACTGCCCGACTCAATGTATTGTACAGTAAGCGAGCTTTCGTCCGTTTCTTCTCCTTTCCACAGTCATTTTGCGGTCCGCATATTTATTCGCAATGGGCACGCAGTCTTTCGGAAAATGTCCAAGAGAGGGGGATTTCCTGTTAGCTACTGTTTGGCGGAATTCTGTCGCGGCAAATTTCATAGTTGGGGATAGGGATGAATTCAGGCTATGGATCACGGACTTGGCTGTGGTGTTCAAAACAAGTTGCGAAGCTGACTCATTGTTTGCCGAATCCTCCTTAATTATTTGATTTTCGCCGTGTTTTAGCGCTTGTTTGTTATTCTATAATCTCGGCAGCCAGTAGTTATTTGCAACACCGATTTGGCTACTGCTCTTCATCCTCTTTGGTTTATTGTTTTTTTTTCCGGATAAGTGAAAACGACCGACAGAGGCTTTCCACAACCCGACCGTCGGCTAGTAGCTCAAGGAATATGTCCCAGTTGAAGACAGGTAGGAAGAACTGGTCGCTTGGAATCGAAGGGAGTTTCTAAACTCGGGCATTTGGTAACCTTGAGTCAGAGACTTCTAAAATTCGGTATTGTCTTTGGGGTTCACAATCTATCTGCATTTACTATTCCAACACAGCGCGTTAGCCCACGGTTGTAACCTTGACCTGTTAAATCGATTTTGACCAACGCGCATTTCACTCGTTCCAGTTTTCGTCCATGTGGTGCTAGATAGATGCGCTGTTTAGTACAATTTGGTATTCCCAATTAGGACAAAAGATTGACACCCGCTGTGACTTTTATATTTCCCTTTCCAAGTTTTCGTCGAAGTGGTTTGTCTACTGAAGGGACTCTTTTTCGTCTCGAGCTCACGCCTCTCACATCCAAGGTCCTAGTAAGTGCTCCAGTCGTGATCATGTCTTGGCTTAGCTGTCTCGGGGGCCGGCAACACTCATCGGTATTTCAGGACGGAATACGGACGTTTCGCTCTGCTTTGAGGTACCGCCGAGGTTGGTCGGGCCCGATGTTGCGGGCGAAGTGGGGCGCTTGCGTCCCGCTGTGCCGTCAGACTTTATTTTTGATCAAAGTTGCAAAACCCGTAGTTCACACAGGGTTTTGCCCCTGCATGCGGCGCATGCCTGTCCGGAAAACTCGTCGCGGTGATATTGATTGTGCACAGTGCATAGCGTGGAGTGTATCCGAGATCACTTTCCCGCTCGGGATTTATCAACCGGCTTGCTAAGCGCTACCAGTCTGATTAGGTGTTCCAGTTGTCTACGGACTGTCCGTTCTGACGAGCGACACGAGGGAGCCCTAGACGCGCTCATTTGTCGAGCCATAATCGCCCTGGGTTGGTGCGGACGAGATTGATCTTCTGTGGAGCATGCTGTAGCACGACGATCACTGCGAGCTCTGGATTTCGCCGCGCAATTTATTGCGTATAGTAGTGGTCAAAGGGGAGTGAAGATTCAGCGGAGAAAAACTTAAGGATCGGGCTGTTCTCAGTCGAGAGTCTGACCTTATTAGATCCTTGAAGACTTGTACAGCAATTGACCACCCGGACAGTATTTTTGACAATATCACGTCAAAGGTGCTGCATATCTTGGCAACAGCCGTGAAAGACAAAAAATTTTCAGGGAGTTGATTTTACCGTTATAAGAATTTACTTGATGCACCTGTAAGCATGCCTGGTCCAACCGGTCTCGGCATTGTCGCGTGAGGATCCGCGGCAGTGGATCTGCAGTTCGAGCAACCCCTCTGAAGCGGCGGGAGCCGAGTAACGAAGGCCAAGTACTGCCTTATGGTGACTGGCAGTGTTTATTCAGGCTTTGGACCGACTCTATCGTCTTTTCATTTAATCCTGGAAGATCTGGAAAGTCGCGATGCTGTCAAAACGGACCTGGACACTCCGTCAAGATGAATTTGGCGAACTTCGCCCGAAGCATGATCATCAGACAACAGTGGTCATGCATCTCAAGTCGCCAGCCGCCTTCCAGGCGCGCAACTCAACGTTTGCAGGCCCACAGGAGGATTGGCCGGACGGATGTCCGGCATACATGGGTCTTCTTCGCGATGGGGACATCACGTAGGGCTCATAGACTTCCTAAGGCTTTCAGAACCCTGCAAACGGCGTCACTCTCAGGATGATATCCCTCACACGCCGTCCATCTGGCAGCAACTTCACCCCGAGGTTCTCAAAATTTCTTCCGGGCGACAGCCATTAAGCTCGTGGGTTGCTTCTCGTTTAGAAATTTTGCTCAAAAACACCGGCCTTCCCAGCGTTTGTGGATAAATCAGCCGAGTTAGGGACATTGCCCGCTGACTATGCTACACTTTGTAAGTCATCATGGATTGATGCTAGCAGGCCTATATTATTATTGCGGTTCAGGTCAGCCAACCAGAGCCTGGAGGACCTGACGCCGTCAAAACCTCTGGGACCCTCCAAATCATCCGATAAGTGATGGCGTTTGGCATGATAGACGATACAATGCGATACTGTCAGGCACTACACTCGTAGGGCGGTATGAAACCTTGATCGTGGCGATTATTTTTGGCAGAACACCATCTACTCTCCTTGTCTGTCGCAGGAACTTGCGATAAATGAAATCGAATGTTGTGGCGGAAGAAAACGATGGGCCGTTGCCGCTTACTAGCGATGATGATGTCATTAGAAGCACGCTGCGGTGCACATATGTGGTCGGTACATGCATGTGCAGGCGATAATCCGGCTTGGTTGGGTCTTCCTCGAGTCAGGCGCACAAGGAAACCGCCCGAGAATGACAATGACAAATACGTCTGCAGCAAAGTCAGTGGGGCTTACACTACAGTGGTTCTCGCACTTTGTCTTATCCCCCTTTTGACAAAAGGCAGAAGGATGGTCGAATTTAAACCCACCAGAAGGGACCCGTCTTCTCGTGCTTGCTCGACCTCTGTAGTCAGAGAGTCCTCACAAGACTTGGAGACTTCGACGTAGATGCCGACCCTTCGGGGCGCCCTGCAGTCGCCTAGCCTCAGTGTTGCATCGACAATTTATTCCTCCTCAAAGTAATGAAGGGTAGTATTTTGTGGCAGAGGGGGTAATAGTTTGGACATCGAAGCAGAGAAGACGTTCCGCCGAGGTTGATCGGGCCGGATGTTGAAGGCTAAGTAGGGCGCTTTCGTCCCGCCGTGCCGTCGGACTTTATTTTTGTTCTATCACAGTTTCAAAATCTGAAGGTCGCACAAGATTCGCCCCTGACAACACCCGTGCAAAACAAAATGCATTTTCAGAGAGTTGAATTTACTGTTTGCCGTACGTCATCGACGTCTGAGGTCTGTGACGTGGAAATCGCCGCTTCCGTCGAATAAATGTTGCGGTCATTTATGAAAAAAAAAACTGTTGTAACATTTCGGACTCGGCGAAAGGGATCCCCCTTGCAGAACTTAGCTTATGCTACCTAATTGGATTGTCATACGGTAGTTCTACTGATGTGTCCATCGTGGCATCGCTGGGCGAACTTGATCCTCTTCAGATACCTTTTCCCACCCCGGTTACCGAGTGAGTCAGGATTTCTGAGCTCAGAACCTCGCCTGTGCTGCGCTTTGGTAATTTTGCGACATTAGGACGTCGTGCAGGAGGACTTTTGGTGCGGATGAGTCGGGAACTCTGAGGCGAGACCATGGTCCGACCTGTTGGCGTTGCCACTTTGGACACTTCTCATAGGGCTGCTAGCATAAATTCAGCCACGAAACCTTGATTTGTTTAGAATTTAATCAGTCTGGCTGACTTTTAGAACATCCTTCGATCGCAATGTAAGCAGATGCTAGAAGCGTGCGCAAATGGAAACTAGCTGGTTCAGGTCAGCGAAGTTCAGCCTTCTCCACATTTATAGTACTGAGAGTCATGCGCAAAGCGACAGCAAGCTGCACATTCAAAGGCCAAATTTCTTCGGACAGGGTTCAGGAAGATCCACATATTTAAATACTCGATACCGTGGGTTCGCTGTTTATTGAGTAGTATAGTTTGCATACTATTTGCCCGCACCAGGAGAGGATGGCTGCGGAGCACGCCGGCTTCAGCTGATACCGTAGCGGGAATCGTAGTACTCTAATCTAACATCCTTGTCGAGGTTTCTCGTGAAGTTGCGAAAATTCCCATGACAGTATTCAGACGACTAGTTGGGGAGCACCCGTTTGCTATCGATAAATTCTCGTCAGGCCGGTACATTTACGGAGGAACGAGTTACAAGTAAAAAGTGTCAGTAATTACAGAAATCGACTGAAGTTCGTTTTAAGACACAGGCAGGATGTGGAAATACGGGGGGGGGGGGGGGGGGGCGTAATGAGAGTCAATTGCAGGGGTGGACTGAGAGCGTAAGAGCGCGGGGAGATGTACGTATTTAGTCAACTATTGGCCGCGGTAAGCGCGGAGCGTGAACGAGGTTCTTCTAAGAGCACAAGACCGGCTTTCATGACCCGAAAGCTGGTGCTTCTGCTGTCGTTAATTGACGCTGGTTCAGTAACAGGGTAGCTTCATAGGACCTTATAAATCACGCGAAGAGCTTTGCTACGGTCCCGAAATCAATAACACGTGAGAGAATAGCGCTGTTTATGCTCCTTGTTTGCCTATCCCCAGCCATGCCCGGGGGTGTTCTTGTATCCTTTTGGCTAGGCGCGACTCGTGTGAGCAACATAACCTGCTCCAAAGGGACAATTGAAGGAGTATATGCACACTGAGGTGGTCTGAGATAGCAATCCGTCCTTATCTTCTCTGTGTAAAATAGGGTTAGTAGAAAATAATATTCGAACCCTTGATGCCGAGAAGGTTCCTAAAACAGCTTGACCAAGGCGTCTTCTTGAGAGTTTACCCGCAGTGTGTCCTTGAAAAGGAACTTTGAGGAACAGCGTTTTCTCGGCTGTCAGTGTTATGGGTTTTTCGGGTCGCTTGGCAATATTCCTTTCAATAAACCTGTCCGGCCACCCGTTTTTCAAAGCAAGTTCTGGATCTTTCTAAGCTCTTCCTCGATGCTGTCTGCCCAACAAATTTTCTAGCACTTTACGCCAAACACCGGATTAGATTTCATTTTTGTTGGGGAGGTACAAAACTTCAGAATTTCGTGTATTGCCCAGACCAAGTTTTATTCCGATAGACGCTCCTTCGAACGTTTCCGTTAGGTCTCGTGTTTAGAAGAACATCTAAGAATGGGAACGAACCAGCCATTTTCATCTCCAACGCGAACGTGATCGACAGATGTACCTGATTTATGGCACTTAGCAGAGCAGCTAAGTGGACTAACTGCATGCATCTCGCCCCGCCCTTTGTATGACTTGTATTACCCCCTACACCCCGCCTGCGTTTTAAGACGAATTATGATCGATTTCCCCAATCAGACACGTTTCTTGTGGACACCGAGTAAATGAGGGGTACAATGAACTTTAGGATTGTGTTATAAGTTGCCTCAAATACCTAGCCGCGAGGCAGCGGTGGCAGCAGAAACTATTCTATAGCGGTTCACTGCAATCACGTCATAGAACAGGAAGCTTCGGAGGGACGGTGAAGGAAGATCGGAGATGGAGTAGCCTGTGCAAAGCTGTAGTTGGTAATGGGGAGATTCTGGCTACTTGACCGTCATATCAAATGCCCATTACTTTTTACCCGTCGTGGAGTCAATTACATTGCACGGGTAGGCGGTCCCTGGTTATTGATTCGTCATCTGATGGTGTGTCGTTGTCTGAAAACTGTACGGTGCTAGTGAAGCAATAGATTTTGTGACCTTCCTCTGTCGTCGTATTGTCGTAACTATTCACAAAACGGGCCAATCCTGGACGACCAGCTCATCTTTCAGTCCAAGACGCACATCTTGCAGGTTCAGTCCGGGATGCTACACGTGTGTGGGAATTTCACTAGAGCATGTCCGCCGAGTCGGGTGTAAATTGTGCATTTCTTGCAGGTGTTGTCTTTTATGATACTTGCCTTTCTACGTATGTATCCACCATACTGAAGACGCATTTTCTGGCATGCTTCCACGAATCCAGCTTGATACCACCAAGCAAACCCAGTCTCTTAAGTCCAGTAGTATTGCACACACCCCAACACTGCCGGGGTTTGGACGTTCATCGCCACACTATCTCTGCGGCATGCCTACTCGAATCCATAATACCGAAAGGGGAAATCTGGTCTTGCCACCAGCTTCTGTTAGGTTCTAATTTACGGCAATTAAATCGCCAACTCTTCTCTGTTGTCTTAGTTCTGCAGTTCATTTTCCATCGGTTACAGTTACTAAGGCCAAGGAAATTAATGATGTCACAAGTCTTGCCCAATAAGGTCTTGGCATATTCTACTGAGTCATCTTAGAATGTTATTTTTCGTTTAGCTATTTATCGAAGAGTGGTGTCGGCTCCAAGTTTTCTCCTCTCTTTCGGCACCGTCTTGGACAATTCTTTTACCGTTCATCGATTGACAGAACAGACATCCACGTCGGGGCTGACCATGCCTAGAAAATGTGCTAGCTTCGCGGTTTGGACGCAGTACCCCCGTTAATCGAGAGTTTATGGATAAGGCTTGTCCAACACTTCAGCTTCAGTCCTACTACATCGGTACGACGGCTGAATATCAGCTAAGAAGTAAAAACGAGTAGAGCAGTAGAGCACCATGAAAACACATATCTGATGAGGCGAGTAGATTAACCTTTTTCGAGTGATTTCCTCAATAAAACGTCCCCTTTACGCTGCTATTAAACTTTAGAGTGCAGAAGTGCAAGCAACTTTCCTTTCAAAGGTCTATTTTGAAAACCACCATGAGTGGGTAACAGCAACCATAACTGTTTGTCCTCAGCCCTAGGCTTCGGCACGCGTGACGACTCGCCACGATTATGGAACTGGAGCAATTATTAGCGAGACCCCCTCCATAGCAATATCGGGGATCAGACTGGTTAGTTCGTCGGATGTTTTGTATCGAGTGAAGGGCAGTCTTATAGGGTAGCGACAGAATAGCCTGCAAACTAGTGCTCTATCACCGTACGCGGGGCGGGGGAGAGGAAGTTTTACAAGGTCCTTTGGCCTCACTGGGGTCCATGTCTTAAATGACAGCGCTTGTGTCGCCAATTTAGCTATGCGGCCGCTGAAGGCTTCGACAAGGAGCGTTTTCTGGGCTGGTCAGTCCTCATTAGTAGCCCTTAATCCGAATGTGTTGGACGTTTGTCTGTCTCCAGCGCAGAGCCCTGAGCCTTCCAACGCCATTCTGGTGTCCAACTTTTCTTAGCTTCTCAGCCCCCCTAATCGTACTCACTATTTCCTCCGAGCACTTTGTCGTCAGATACCAACTTGCCTTCAGAGTATTAGTCGGCTCAGAGAAACTCTTGAAACTGTGCTGAGATCGCTAATCTATTTGCTTATCTTGTCCCCAGTTTACGGCATCTCGTGCGTCATTGGTGGCTGTTTATCGCAAGCGTCTTCAAACCAGTCGTCCCACAAGCCTCTGATCGCATACCTGTGGCTAAGTGCCGGCCTACGTTATGGGTTAAGTCCTCTGGTGAGGTTGGTATCAACACAAGGAGGCCACACATGTAGGGCAAGCAACTTTAATAGGGCGTCATTTGGATTCTCCAAAACGGGCTTCTGCAATAAGCGTGTAATCAGTAAACCGGTCTTGACACTGGCAGGCCCACGGCCCGTCAACAAGACGTCTCGAACTCAAGGCTCGCGGCCCAGAAACGTTTTTTTACATATTTAAGTTTGTTGGGGGAAGGAACAAAGCCAATGCTGAGACTGCAGGATTCCGGTCAGAAAGGCAAGTTCACTCTTAACCCAAAACATGAAAAAAGCTATGAAACCCTCCCCACTGACCACTGTTGTGATGAGTTAAAGCTAATTTATATTTTCTGGCTATCTCAAATGACGGCATCTGAACGAAGCGAATATTCAGAAATTTCTAGCAATAAATTATAAGGTGACAAGCGAGGAGCGTGCAGAATATACAGTTGTGTCCCAGACTCACCCTGGAGTATACATCCGTACACAAGGAAGTCACAAGTGCACTATATTAAAAGAATCAAAGTCTAACATCGCTAAGGCGCAAGCTTTACAATTTATTTGCACTGAACTAGAAGAAAACAGGGGCAAACAGACGAAGGGCGGTTTAGGCATGTCTAAAATGTCTGTGTGACCGGGTACTCTGAGATCACTCTGCTGGCTCAAAAGTGTAGTTTGGCCTGCCATTGTCCGGATATTGCTTTGGCATCTAGGGGGATTGAAAACGGAAAAAGTGGATAAAAACTGGCGGCATCACCGTAATGACGACCCCTGCTTAGAGTGCTATGAGCCGAAAAAAACAATATCGGCCTGAGAAATAATGGAGTAATCTAGAAATGAATAATTAGGTTCGTGAATCGCACACAGTTTTGCAGAGGTTCTAGGTTGTGCAACGAAGTAAGTCAAAATGCTCCCGAGGGAGCTGTGTTCAAGCGCATTAATTACTATTTTCAACCAGGCTAATGCGACATTGCAGCAGGTAAACACTTTCGATAGGTGCAGCAAAACGAGCGAAAAACGTAAGTCTGCTTTTTGCACATGCTGAGACGACTAACTCGAACACTCGCAAACAGAAAATGAAATATCATCTATAGTTTTGACAAGGCAGAAATATTACCATTGGTAGGAAAAATTTGTATTGCTCCCCGATGTAGAAGATTGGTCCAAGGATGAGAATGGGTGACAAGAAACGAAGTAGAGTTCGCCAACTAACGAAAAACAAATAAAATTCATTTTTAAAAACAACTGAATAGAGGCAAGTTACCCTACCCCTACTGAATAAGACCAAGTTCAATCTACTATTTGACAATGGTGATAGAAGCAACACAGAATTACTCAAAATACTTGGTGTTGTGAGGCGAGAAAATGTACTAGCTGATCTTTTCAGTCCTCCAAAGCATTAAACGAATAGGTAGGTAAATCAGAAGCTGAAATACTCGGGCATCTGCCTTCACAAAAGTGTGGAAGTTAGTTACGAGTCGAATCCCTATGGAGGGCAGCGGGCTGCAAACTGTGGACCATTTTCGCTTCATACACTTATTTTAAATCCCGTTTTGCACTCTATAACGGTTAAGCCGGTGAAAATCTTCATATCAGTGATGATTTTTGAAGGGCACTTTACAATTCTGCAAAGCAATCGACAACATGGGCGGCGCGTTCGGCGATGACTTTCATGAGAGATGGCTCGAAACTTACCGTGGTTCGCCGTAACGCAGTTCTTGTTGCGCAGGATCATAGCCCATGGACCAATAATAATCCCAGTCCCATGGAATCGGTTCATTGTAATTACGTTTCACATAGCCGTAATCATAATGCTCGTAAGGGTCGCGGTGCAATTCATTGAAAGGTTCCAACTTAGGATAGTCGCCTGGCGCATTCCCATCATTCTCGTACGTCTCGTAGTCTTGTGGAAGAAGTCCATACTTTTTAGCCGCAGCAGCACGCTCTGCGGGAGTTGTGGGATAGCGGGCAGGTTTCCAGTCAACATGCCAGCCTAAAAATAAAGACGGGAAAGTGGAGGGGACAAAACAGTGCAAACGTTGACAAAAGGCACGTACTAAACTGGTGATTTAGCTGAGACATTATTCAAACGCCAGCCTGCGTAGACCAACAGGATAATTTCGACGAAGGAAGCTAATTGAGATGTGGTGAGTAGGTGGGGTGCATCCTTAACGATTTCCTATGTTTCGAAATAGCGTAACCGGATTCGGGTTTCGGAGAATTTATTCAGTCAACTATGATCTCACGGAGGAACAAGATATGCTGGGTCTGTGAGATTAGCGACAAATGGTAGAATCTGTGGATGTCGAAGACTCATGGCGATTCGAATGCGGGCGAAGGTTGTTGATGGTCAGTTTTAAGGATGCGTTGTCCGTGGATTGCTGGAGAGTACGAGAAAGAGCTCCTTCCTCGTTTACGTTCGTATCAGCGTTGTTAGAATAGTACATGGTTACGTCTGCGTCTTGTCAGACGCTCGAGTAGTAGCCTGCTCTGTTTATTATTGGTCAAATAGCCGCTGTCGAGAAGCACCGGATGTGCCGCACGGTGATCAAGTAATAAAAGGTGGCTGAGCAGAGGTCCCGGTTAGTGTGAAAAAGAAATAATGGATCACCAGGTGAACAAAATATCAATATGAAAAATCCAACGCAGCCGAACAAAGTTTCGAAGAGCGTGATACAACGGAAACGGGACCTGCGCAAAGGTATGATGTTCAACCCCTCAGACGACTTTGAAAACAATCATGCGGGGATCGCGGTATTGGCGCCCCGTCTCGGTTCTGCAGCAAACGCTGAGAAAGTTTAGATATCGTGTTGATCTAATAACCGGTTTCACCGCTAACTACACTGGGGATCCAATAGGACTTAAGCCTCTCGGATTATTTAGCTAACGCTCAAAATGTAATTTACGGTTTCACTTCATCAAAAACAATTTCCATTTTTCAAAAACTTGACAGATATGTAACACTGTCAGCGTACATGCGAACTTCTTCTGCGAAAATAGTGGGACTGTTCGCGAAAGGAAACGCGAAGCAGGCGAGCACAGCGACATTGCTGAAGAAGAGCCCTTTAATTCGCCCGCCTGAATTCCAGCCGAGTAAAATACAATTTCCCTAATTTTCAGTTACTGTTTCTTATTTTGACCAAATAAAGCGCATTTTGCGTCTCCAGGCAGTTAAGCGCTGTTAATGCTAGGCATTTGGATCCGCCTACGCGTCGCAATTGCATAGATCTTGTTTTGGCACTTGGCTCTATCATCTCTTTTTTGGTAAATTGTTTGACTGGATTATTTCTAATGTTCCATCTGGAAACTATAAGCATCTTGGATCACTTGTTTACTTGAATGTCCCTGAACTATTTCACAGACAGTTAAGGGACTATAATTCTCTATTTAAAAGCGCCTCGATTGTCACGCGGTCAGTAAATTTCGCTGTTGACTTCCTTTGCACACGTGGATCTAACTATTAGGTAACAGATGCCAGATCTATGTCATTCTACGGAAAAAGTTCCAATAGTTTGATTGAGACCATTTCGACGTTGGAGGTTGATTCAATCTCCGCACACCGAGATCGTGTCTCTAATTTTCTGGAATAGACAACATATTTCCTTTGTCAAGATCTTGACTCATGATGAAAAGGATCTAGCTACTCTTCTCAAATAAACCTACGTCTTCTCGGCCAAACGTTTATCATTGCAATCATGACGTTAACGAGAATCCCCAAATGTCTAACACCATTTGAGATTTCCGGCGATGAGAGCTACTATTTGGTGAAGAGTAGTGAAATTAAATTAAGACTTTATCGTATGTTTGTACTTCCCATTCTCGAGTATTGATGTCCATTCCTTGGTCTAATGAACAAGACTATTCGTTTAAAAATCGAAAATGCCCAAAGATGTTTTCCTAAGAAAACGTTTAGATAGGGAACATCCAAATGTCTTCTACTCAGATAGATGCCAGCTAATTAACCTAAACTTTTTATGGGTTCGAGGACTAGAAGCAAGCTTCTGTCTCCCCTTTCGCATTAATAATAGTTCAAATCTTCCTCGGATTTCAGCCCTTACCCCTAGTAGTCGCCCACACAATCTTCGTAACTCATTCTTGATTATGCCCCCTCCAGCTTCCTCCACCTCTAAGCGTTCTCTATTTTTTGCCTCCAGATATACTTTCCTCTGGAAAAACCTTCCAATAAATAGAAGATCTTCAGATAATGTACACACCTTTAGGAAAAGGCTACGCCTTTGTCTGAATACTGACTCAATTAAACTTTTACTTTCCTCATCCTTCCCAGACAACTTTCTCTATGACACCATGAAAGGGCCACGGGTAATTTAGTATGCCGCAATTAAATTTCCGTATCTGCTCACATTTCCTTCTTTTGTGAGTCGTACCGTTTCCTAGGATCCCTCATCAAAAATGTTAATTTTTCGGTTTTTCAGTCCATCCATCATGCCCTCACTGAATGCGATCTATCGACGCTCTTGGCAGAACCTTCTGTATCTGCCATAAACTAATAGCCTGGTCGCATCTGCCTTGCGCCTCCTTGGCTGAATTCGGCTGAATGTAACTGATCGCACCTGGGTTCCTATCGCCTCGAAACTGGTTTTCAATTCGCCACTTTGACATGAACGGCCTCATCCGGCATATGAATTCTCCCATGATGATTCCCGACTCGATCCTTTGCTCAAGTCTACATACAGGCCAGTCCGGCCTGACCCGCCTACTTACCCCTACATGAAATCCGTCATACAATGCCATATTCAGTTCGGTCCCGCCTGCTTTTTATAAACTAAGGAGCGAAATTTTTTTTCTCCTATAGTTTTAATCCAATCATACTCATTTCGTTTATGTAAGGAGTTTTTTTACTGCTCGCTCGACATTCGTCGTGACATGCTACTTATTCAAAAACTATGTATTGAGTACCCTAATAATTCTGTATACCTCGTCTTAGATTCTAAAATTCATGTAAAAGTTATTCTTACTTGCTATGATAGGACCCCCACGAGTCTTTAATAAATTATTATTATTAGTATTATTATTATTCACAGTCCGTATTGTGATCATAACAAGTTCTGTCCTATAAATTTCCAGGAAAAAAAATCCGAGGTTCCTACAAACGATCAGTGAACGCGCCACTGAGGACGTGGCTGATACAAAGGCGGTAGTCGAGGTCCTGGCACACTCGCTACAGCATGTCTTCTTTAACGGCCTTCAGAGCCTCGGGGATTATCTCCTCGAGCCTTCCTACGCATATTTTAAGTGGCATGACATAGATCAACCATTCACATGACCTCACAGGAGGAAGCCGCACGACGTCAAGGCAAGTGACCGTAAGGGCCACTCCCAAATCAGAATGTCTCCATCAACAGCTCATCCGATCTATCTTAGGGGCAATTTATTCAATACCGTATGCACGTTAGTCCTATCTGACCAGCACGTTTACCCCTTCATGAAACCTGTTATACGCTGCCACATGTGAGGCCGGTTATGGTCACTTTGTCACTCATGAAAGGACACAGTTTTTCTTCGGTTATTTTACTCCAGTTATACGCATTTGTTTATTCGATAGGGGTTTTTTCACTACTCCCTCGTCATTCTTCGTAGCAGACTACTTATTTAGTAACTATGAACTAACTGTTGTACAGATTTTGTCTTCCTGTTCTAAAATTCATGGAAATATCTCTTCCTACTGACTATAACCGGGTCCCCACGGGTCTTGAATAAAATTTATTTAGTTATTTACTTTCTCGTTTATATATACTCGCGCTAGGACTTTTCAATGCAGCGGAAGCCCATCTTATTGCAAAATGGTTTGGACCTGTTCTTTTGCCTCAGTTTTGTCAAGCAGTCGGTTTCGAGGCCTTTTCAAATAATCTTTGTCGGCCACGTTTCCCTCGAAGAAACGAATGCCATACATACAGATCTTTGAGATGCGCGGAGCACACTCAACTTTAGCGAGCTCCTTTCATGCTCACTTATGGCAAGTGGATTTTCTTCGCGCAAAAAACGAACATATGCCCATAGAAACATTCGTTTGCAATCTAGCTTTACCACTAAAACAAGATAATTTTCACAGTTCTCTTCAAGTTCCTCCTGAATGTCTTCACAGAAAGGAGGCGCTTACCAAAACACCAGTACACCACAAATGGGGTTCCGCTAAGAGAAGTGGACACGCACAAAGACCTAGGTGTCAGAATAAGTTCGAACTTGCTGCCTTCCGAGCACTGCAAAAGAGTCGTCCAAAAGACATCCAACATCATGCCCTGGATTAGGCGTGCCTTCAAAATCTTTCCTCCCGAACTCTTCTCACAGATATTTGGTACGTTTATCAGACCACATTTTGAATACGGAGTGCCATCATGGATACCCTGGATGAAAAAAGACAGTGATGCCATAGAACAGGTGCAACGACGGGCCAAAAACTGGTAGACGGTCTCAGGACTCTGTCATACTCAGAAAGACTGATCCAGCTAACCTTGTTCCCCATATCCTGTAGGCAAATGAGGTGTAACCTGTTATGGACATTCTGCATTATCCACGGATATGAATGTTCGTTCAAATCTGAAGACTTCTTTGAATTCATGACCATGAGTCACCTTGCGCGGTCATCCGTACAAAGTCAAGCGGGAGCGTGCACACCTAAGCCATCGGAAGTTCTCCTTCAGCCAGCGTGTTGTTCAACCGTGGAATTCACTCCCAAGGGAAATAGTGACATCCGAAACAATAGCTGAATTCAAAAGGCCGCTGGATCGTTTGATCTTTGATAAACGACGACTCTCACTGCAGGAATATCTGCGGATAGCCATAAATTTCATTTATTAATTCCATCCCTGACGTTTAATGAAACTTCCCTCCCAAGCTACACAAATGACTGCACTTAAAATTTCATATTTACATTGAAAAGACCGTCTGCCGCACCCGCAGTCCCGCACTGCAGAAACATTATCCATATACAAATATGTCTCTTGCAAAATTTTAGTAAGATGCGCATTTAAAATTTGTATTTTATGTACCGTTTTCAATAGGGTAATCAAGGGCATTGCCTATGCAAATCATCCGGATTTAAAGCCTGAATAAGTTTAAGCTTGTAGGGGTTATTCGGAAGTATTTTCTCACGACATGCCCAAAAAGGTGACTTAAGAATAGGGGTTTACGGGCTTGCTCTTCGCACAGATTATCTTGGACTGTGACTAAACCCTTCGCGTACTTGGTTCACCAAGTACGCGAAGGGTTTAGTCACCCTCTCTGATGAAACTGTTGGCTGTACAGCTTCTTCCGACATAAATACTACTCCTCTTGGAAATTCTTATGTCAAATCCACGTTTACTTCTCTGCTGACGGTTGCTTACGAAATCTTCAGTAAAATTCACGTCGAGAATTCAAATTTGACTTAGCGTCAGCGTAATTCAATAAACAAAACACCTTTTTGTCTCAGTAAATGGCATTTCTAATCCTAAAAAGAGAAGGAGGCAAGAAATAATTTTCAAAAATGCATTGGATTCGAGATATGTTGCTAAGGTTACAGACAATTCGAATGAAATATTTCAATTTATTTGCTCTGAAATGATTATGAAATGGCATAAATGAGAAGGAAAGGCGTTTTCGGGAGCGATAATTGTACTGTCCTGACGTTTTAAACGTAGGCAAGCTTCCATTATCAGAAAAAAGTATCATACCTTGTATCACAGTATTTATAGGGAGTGACCGTCATGATAATACGGCGTTAGTTAAAGGGATTACTCTTAGCAGGGTGCATTAGGGAAGACGTCAATCGAATTTGGCCCTCATCGCCTGCATACGCACAGGGTTTGTCCACGTAGGCGCCGGAGCGGAGGGCAAGGAGGGTGACTGTTGTAAATCATCGAGTGGCGGCGATTCAACGTTGATGGCCATCAGTCGCATCCACATCGATCTTAACTGACTCCTCGGGCTAATAGTCTTATTTGAGTTTCTTTGATTGCATTTCTCCTCGTCTGCCATAGCAGCAGTTGATGCAACAGCATTGATGACTGTGCCTTCGTCAGGCTTGGCTTGTGGTGTGGCTTGTTCGTCGT